GGTTGTGACTAATATGTTTACACAAACTACATTGTTGACAAGGTTGAGAGTCCACCCAATCCATTTCATTCCTAATACGTGTAGACTTTGGTCGATCTTTTCTCCTTTCTTTTTGCTCGTCAAGGACTAACTTCCATTTGTTGGATGTTAGTATGTTGCTTTCATTTCTAAGAGGTCACCAATCATATGAGTATGCATTTACAACATATTGCACTGAATAAATCAGATCAACCTATTGCCAATAACCAATATTCACTGATGCACAAGCTACTATGACATGTGAGCATGAAAATCGATACACCTAAAACTTTCCATATTCACAAAATCGATTGTCTAATATAAGAGTCCACTTATTATCACCTCGTTGGGTAACTAGATTAATCTCTTCTACTTCAAATCTTTGTATGTCATATCGTTAAACTTGATGTGAAGACGTTTTTTATTGATTTTTTTTTCATATGTTACATTAATTTATGACAAAACCTATTACCATTGTTAAGCTCCTTTGTTGCTTCTTCACCACGCTTAACAAAATACTCAACTAAATGTCCATATGTACATTTTACCACTGCAGTTATTGGCAAGTTCCTTGCACATTTCAATATTTTGCTAATAGCCTTAGATAAATTGGTTGTCATATGGCCATAACGTCTACTTTTATGGTCATAAGCGTAAGTCCATATTTCTTTGGAGATGCAATCAATCTAGGTCTTAATGTCCTCTGACTCATTTTAAAACTCGTCAAGTTTTTCTTCAAATCTTTGCTTGCATGTTGTATATGTTGTTAAATGAATCAGAAAATCGTCATATAACTTTAAAGATATACAGAAAACAACTTATACAATAACTACTAAATGGACATAAATAAAATTGACAATAATCGTACCTAATTTGATTAGTGCTTTTTTCAAAATTAGATTTTTGAATCACTAATTAAAATTGCTTGCAATGTGACGATGTAATAAATATGATATGCATTTAGAGGTTGTCACCCAATATGTGAATTAGAAACTGCACATTTTATACTTTGATATCTATCAGATATCAAACAAATACTAGCCTTATCTGTGACATGAAAATGAATAAGAGCCAAGAACCATTCCTATGTTGACAATGTCTCTCCTTCCACAATTGCAAACTCAATTAGAAGTACATAATTATTTTCATCTTGAGCGGTAACAATTAGTAAAGTGTGTTAGTACTTACCATACAAGAATATACCATCTACCTATATTAAAAGTTTGCAAAAATTAAAAGCACTTATGCATTGTCTGAATGACCAAAATAATTGATGAAAGACTCTATTTGTTATCGACATGGTGGCTCCTCACATAATCATTTGTTTCAATTTTATAAACTGATCCAAAAGCATGTAATTGCATATACTCCAATTATCTTAGCAATGTACCATATGATTCATTTTAGTTACTAAAACCTGGACAATGACTTTTTGTTTTGTCTTCCATGCTTTTTTGTAAGAAACTTGATAACCAAATTGACCATTTATTCTTTTTTAAATTAATATGATTGGCATTGATGATTATTCTTTTACCATACCTACAATTAACAATAACATTATTTATTTCGTTTTTAAATAAAATGTTTATTCTTCAAACGAGACATTCATGTATATAGTTTAACAAGTGTAAGTGGTATTTAAAGTTTGACTTTGGTTACGATTGTTTAGAAGAAGCTATCAACAAATCAAATAAGTAAAATTGGAATAAAAAGTAAGAACAAAATTGACTTGTTAAATAGCAATATTAAGGCAGTTCAACCATAAAGAAAGCTACATTATCCATAAAGAACAAAGATAATTTGTTTAAATATAAGTTTTGGAACTTGCCTCTTAAGTTAACTATTTTAAAGTTTTGGTAATGTTTTGGAAGAAACTAAAAACGTAATCAATAAATTTATTTAATTAAAATAAAAATAAGTAACAAGAGATGGTCTAAGTTACAATATGAGTCTCATGCAATTTAGCCTCTATCTCCAAAAGGTTATTTGCCATTATCTCCAAACAGTTATGACTTAAAATATGGTTAATTTAAGTAGTAATGGAATTTAAATTTGAACTAAGAGATAGTGAAATAATTTATAATGATCTTTCAGTGACTTTTACATTATCAATTTTAAAATTAAATTTTATCGTATAAAACCTATTTTCAATGCTTAATTATAAGCTCAAATCATGTTTTTTTAAAGAGATTTCAAAAAATCTCTTGTAACTTAATAAGGAACATTCTTATTAAGTAGAATGATTATCGAAACATAAAGGGAGACATAACGCTTGAAGACTTTATCCAAGTGAACAATGGCCTTAAACCTATTCTCTATGTTCATATATTATGCATGTAAGCTTATTCCACAACAAATCGACCCTTTGCCTAGGACGTGATGGTTTCTTCTCTCCAACAACTTCGTCAAGAAAATTAACTTGGTATTAAGAGTATCGTCAGCTCCTTTTCTATCATATAATATCATTTGAAGGATCTTCTATGACTGAAATTTAACATATTCCTTTGGTTTATAAAACTAAATTAGCTTAAATATAAAACTAGTCCTTACATTTACTTGTATTTTTTATTTAATCCTTATAATTTTTGTTTGTTTGTTTTGTATCTTATATTTATATAAAATACCTTACCGGTCCATTATCACCAGATTATATTTCACACCTACTATTTGACATAATACCGATGACCAGCGAAGAAAGGGTATTTTAAAAAATTTAGGGATATAAAACAAAAAATAGAGTTAACAGAGACTAAAATAAAAATTACAAATAAATGTGAGGACCAATTTCAAGCCAACTAAATTTACCTCTCTTTCATATCTAGTTGGCAAATAATTTAATTATAATGAAAATTAAAATAAAACTTCTTTTATAAGTAATTTTCCGAAGAAAATTTTCAACAAAATGTTTATGCCTGCAATACCATTTTTTTTTCCGGGTCCAACGCTACATTTCTATTTATGCAACTTTGCAGCTTCACGTGTTCTTTGGCAGTTTAGTTCCCTTTTCCAAAATTTGATTTAAGGAATGATATATCCCGAATCCGAGTTTGATTTCCAATTCCTAAATAATAAAAAAAAAATTGAAATTTTTATTTAAATAAACGCCTACTAGTCACCTACTTCGTATTGTGCAGAAAGACTATAATAACCCTTAGTATTAAACATGTGATTGGCACGCAAGTGGAACGTTTGATAATTTCCTGCAGCAGTTAATCTAAAATTAACAGCATATTATGGATATACTTCTTCTGAACTGTATTTGTTTATGAAATGAGAAAGTAAAATATTATTTATTATTCATTTAATTTAAAATGTATGATGATATTGATTTATGAAAATTAAATAATAGATTTTTTTATTGGATAAACAAATTCAGTAATTTAAAGGAACCTTTTCCAAAATACACAAAGGTTGTGCTTTTTATAGCCCAACGAATCACCTTGTTCCAATTCAACTGGTTTTTTCTAAAGTTCTATATGTTCAATAATGCAAAACTAGTTTAGTAGCCTGATAAAGATTTAATATTTTTTAAATATAATTTATTTTAAAATAATATTTTTATTGCATAGTGTTAAAAAATTTAATTAAATATTAATTAATATAATTAACAACTGTAAATTTAAAATATAAAACTCTTAAAAATAAACTCTAAATTTAAAAAATAATTAAAAAATATAATTTTTACAAATATAAAAAATATATAATAGGTATCTCAATCTAAGTTGCATAAACTAAGAGTAACTTATTATCGAGCATGAAATGTGTTAATACTAATTACGAATGTGTTTAATCATAAGTCATTAATCTAATACAACTTCTATATTAGTATTTTATATTAGTATAAGTGCAACTTATATTTGAGTATGAAACTAATTGATAATGAGTATGACTATACTCAACTGTAAGTCGCACTAGATTGATAATTGATATGTAAGTTTTAAATCATTCTAATTTAGTGTCACTTATGAAATATAAAAGAGAAGTTATATTTGATTTTTTTTATTAAAGATAATATATCTAAAATTTGATATTTCTTTTATTTTAATTATTTTTTTAATTTATATTATTTATTACTATTAAAATAGTTTCATTTCAGTAGAATCAAATTTTCTTAAAAATTTTAAGTTTAAATTTTTGTACATACTACATACATTTAAAAATACTTATTAATTATTTATTAATATTCTTATCATTCTCCATACATATTTCTCAAAAGTAGAATTTATTATTCTATTACAAAATGTTTATTCAATATTGTAATATCTACATTTCATTTATCAAATTTTTAAAATTTGTATAATATTAGACATGATAAAAAGTCACATATAATACATTTTATTGAAATTATAGCATTTAATAATCTTAATTCATTGAATTGTATTTTCTTCTTTAATTTTTAATAAAAATTTCTTATATAAATTTTTATTCCATATAATATTACACATATTAAAAAAATTATTTATTTATTATTATATGTTTAAGTATAATATAAATAGTTTAACTTTGGTATGATATGCTAGGGGAAGAGAAAACTTAAAATTATATGTGCTTCTTTTGTATTTTTTAAACTACATTTTAATTTTTTTTAAAATTAAGACTGTGTTTTTTCATTTTTTAAAAAATTATAAAATTGTTTTAATATGTTCTTAACATATTTTTATTCAAAAATTATTTTATTAAAAATCCTATTTTCATGAATTTAGAATATCATTTTACTTATAAAAAAAATCTCGTCGTAATTACGTTAAAAGGAAAATGAAAAATATTACTTTGGATAATAAAAAAAATAGACAGCTAAAATCAAGGAGGCTGTTATGTGTTTCTCCCCAGCTAAATCTAGCGACCATGGATTAGGATAACGAAGTTCTTTTCGTAGGGATTCTAAAGGGCAATTCTCGTAATTAAACGACAAAAGGAGGGGCACTTTACAGAAGCACCTTTCTATCGTCTTTGTATATATATAAACCTGCTTCTTCCAAGTCACATTTCTCTCTCTTCTTCTCTTATTCTGTGTATTCTCCCAGATCCTTCGCCTGAAACTCTTGTTTTGCCGCTCTCGTGTTCTCGCTTTGGATCCATCTCGCGTCACTCAAAATTCCGAAAACCTCACAGAATTCAGAATTTTCTGTTTGGACGTCCGTTTAAGATCTTTTAGATTAGGTAGATCCGAAGTGTGAACCATTTCAAGGTATCGCTGCTGCACTCGATCATGATCGATCGCATTTCGTTTTTAATTATCCGATCCGTGTTGTTCCTAACATTTCATGCACTTGTTCTGAAAATCCTCGTTCCTGCGCCGATCCCTAGCGATTTCCGATTCTGGATCTGAGTTTTTCTGGTTTTCTTTTTATGCTGAATTTATTAAATCTTTTATTGCATGATGAATGACAGGACGTCATGTTCCGAAACTTTTCTTTTACCAATTTATGGCTCTTTAAATGGCTTTGAAGGTTGATGGAAGTCGTTTTGTTTGTGTTTGTTATCATTTTGGCTTGGTTACAGATCGTTGAAGAATGGCATCGGCAGCGACTGGGGCCACGGGATGGTACAGGGGAAGAGTGAAGGCTGTTCCTTCAGGGGACTGTTTGGTCATTGTGGCCATTGCCAGCACTAAACCTGGTCCTTTGCCTGAGAAGACCATCACTCTCTCTTCTCTAATTGCACCTAGATTGGTAATTTTACTCATTTGACTTTTTTTTTCATGTGAAGTTGGGAGCAAGAACGATGCATTAAATGAAAAAGTTAAAGCTGTGTGCTAATTGCTCTGGTGTTTTGTGTTTGGGTATTTGCTAGGCGCGTAGAGGCGGTGTGGACGAGCCTTTTGCATGGGAAAGTAGGGAGTTTCTAAGGAAGCTCTGCATCGGGATGGTGCGTTGAAATAGAGAGCGTTGTTACTCTGATCTAATTGAGTGCTCTGGTTTTGTCTTCTTTTGATGAAGATTGCTACGTGTCTGACATAATGTGTTTTCTGGAGCAGGAGGTTACCTTCAAAGTTGACTACACCGTGCCGTCCATTAATCGAGATTTTGGAACCGTTTTTCGCGGTGACAAAAACGTTGCAATGCTGGTTGTTTCTCAAGGATGGGTTAAGGTTGGGAACCTTGTGCTTTGCATCTAAATGAACCACGTTTGGATCATTTTATCCGTTGATGAATTGCGTTGCTGACTTTTGTCTTGTACTTGCAGATCAGAGAACAGGGGCAACAGAAAGGGGAAGTGAGCCCATACCTGGCAGAATTGTTACGGTTAGAAGAGCAAGCTAAACAAGAAGGCCTTGGCCGTTGGAGCAAGGTTGGTTTTGGTCTTCCTCTATAGCATGAGAGAAATTTTTTGAAAAGCTTTGTGATTAAAGTGTGATTTTTACTAGAACATTGAAATTTGATATTAAATTGTTGATGTTCTGCCAACTTGGTTTACTTGAAATCAACGCGCATGGTGTTGGACTGTTGGGCATCTTTGCTGATGTAAAGCATGTGTTGCCGTGTCGATCAACTTACATTGCGTGTAAAGTTACTGGTGTATGTGTAAACGACCACTTGCATGTTCATGTTTTAAATCAATGTTTAATTACAGAACGTGATTGCTCTGTTACCCAATATATTTATAGATATCGTCTTCTGTTGGCATTTAACTCGTCAAGACAGGTTGATGTTAGAATACGATGAAAATTGGAGACATTTAGTCACTATTCGTGTATATCTTATTGAAATCCCTCATCAGTGTACCTCATGATTTTACGGTGATTGCAGGTTCCTGGTGCTGCTGAGGCTTCAATCAGAAATCTACCCCCTTCTGCTATTGGTGACCCTAGTAACTTGGATGCTATGGGTTTGTTAGCTGCAAACAAAGGATTACCCATGGAGGCAATTGTTGAGCAGGTTCGCGATGGCAGTACTGTTCGAATCTATTTGCTCCCGGAGTTTCAGTTTGTCCAAGTTTTTGTTGCTGGAATTCAGGTATGTATAATAAATGCTGTTGCTATTGCTATTGCTATTTACTCCCATAATTTTTTATGCAGGCAACTAATTGTTTTCCCTTCAAAAACACTAGGCCCCACAAATGGGAAGGAGAGCTGCATCTGAAACTGTTGTTGAACCTGAATTGACAGCTGATGAAACCAATGGAGATGTTTCTGGGGAACCTCGAGCCCCTCTTACATCTGCACAAAGACTTGCAGTTTCAACATCTGCTGAAACTGCAGCTGATCCGTTTGCACATGAGGCTAAATTTTTCACTGAGATGCGTGTATTGAATCGAGATGTAAGTAACATGCTTCTATACAAGTTATACTGTTTTTGCATTTCTGAAAATTTATTTTAATTTCAAATGGCATGTAGGTTCGGGTTGTCTTGGAAGGTGTCGATAAGTTCAGCAATTTAATTGGGTCAGTCTATTATCCTGATGGTGAATCAGCAAAGGACCTGGCATTGGAGCTTGTGGAAAATGTATGTGGCTCACTTGAGTGGACCTTGTTTGGGTGACATTATCGTGATTTATTTGCTTTAAATCAATTCTTGTTGGACCTTGTGTGTTTACTGCCATGATTTTATACTGTAGCATTACTTTGTTGGTTTATTTGAGTTGAGACTGAAACAAGCTTTAATCCTTTTGTATTTGCAATTAATCATTTCTTGTAGAAATTTCAATATTGCATTTGATTAACTAAATGGATTTAAAAAGAAAACATTGATGAAAGAGTGGACATAATAAAGTATGAATGCTTTACCATTGTCATCTTATATTCATTGTTTTAGTTAGAATGAAATATTATTTCTAGATTACATGACATGTAGTTGGAGTAAGATATCACTGATTTCTCCCCCCATTTTCTTCATGTCTTCAAATCTAATAAATTTTAAGCCAAAATATAGTGTAAATCTTTCTCACGTTGAATTTTTAATGAAATAGGGGTATGCTAAATACATTGAATGGAGTGCAAATATGATGGAAGAAGAGGCAAAGCGGAGGCTGAAGAATGCAGAACTGCAGGCTAAGAAAAGCAGGTTAAGGATGTGGACAAACTATGTACCACCTCCTTCAAATTCAAAGGCAATTCATAATCAGAATTTTACTGGAAAGGTAAAACATTGCTAAATCATTTACAGAAGCCAAATAGCCATTGTCAGTAATACAGGCATATAACATTTTAACTTGAGCCTTACAGGTGGTTGAGGTTGTGAGTGGAGATTGTGTCATTGTTGCCGATGATTCCATTCCATATGGTAGTCCACTAGCTGAGAGGCGAGTTAACCTTTCTAGTATTAGGTGTCCAAAGATGGGCAATCCTCGTCGAGACGAAAAACCTGCCCCCTATGCCCGTGAAGCAAAGGAGTTCTTAAGAACCCGCCTCATTGGGCGTCAAGTATGAAAATCTCTTATGACACTTATCTTTTAATATCATTGCTGAAAAATTGGTTATAATTGGCTGCTATTTTTCAGGTGAATGTTCAAATGGAATATTCTAGAAAGGTTGCTCCCACAGATGGATCTGTAGTTTCATCAGTAGCAGCTGCTGATTCTAGAGTAATGGACTTTGGTTCAGTCTTCTTATTGTCCACGGCAAAGGTTGACAATGATGATACCCTGTCATCTACTCCAGCAGCTGGAAGTCAGCAAACTGGGGTGAATATTGCTGAATTGGTAGTTGGCCGTGGCTTTGGAACTGTCATTAGACATCGTGACTTTGAAGAGAGATCTAATTATTATGATGCTCTTCTTTCTGCTGAATCACGTGCCATTTCTGGAAGGAAAGGCATCCATTCTGCCAAGGATCCACCAGTGATGCATATAACTGACTTGACCACAGTGAGACAAATTATAATTACACCTCATTTTATTCTGCTGCAAAAGCTATTTTATAACTCAAATATGTAACTGTTTCGTTTTGATTCATATTAGGCATCAGCCAAGAAAGCCAGAGACTTCTTGCCTTTCCTGCACCGGAGTAGAAAAGTTCCTGCTGTTGTGGAATATGTTCTCAGCGGCCATCGTTTCAAATTGTTGATTCCAAAAGAAACTTGCAGCATCGCTTTCTCATTTTCCGGGGTCAGGTGTCCTGGTCGTGACGAGCCATATTCTGATGAAGCAATTGCACTGACGAGGCGAAAGATAATGCAGAGAGATGTTGAGGTAAACCAATTCCTTTCTGAACTTAAGATTTCTTTATCACCCTTATTTTTTATTAAATTTTTTTATGTTTGCAGATAGAAGTTGAAACTGTTGATAGAACTGGAACCTTCTTGGGATCCTTATGGGAATCAAGGACCAATGTAGCAATTACACTACTTGAAGCTGGTCTCGCAAAGCTTCAAACCACCTTTGGCAGTGACAGAATTCCTGAATTTCACCTTCTGGACCAAGCTGAACAATCTGCTAAGAGGCAAAAGCTGAAAGTAAGAATGGGGTCCCCATCCATGTTTAGATTATCACTATTCTTTCCCTGTTACTATTCTAAAGTGAATTGTTTGCAGATCTGGGAGAATTTTGTTGAAGGGGAGGAAGTATCTAATGGTGCAACAGTTGAAAACAAACAGCAAGAAGTGCTTAAGGTGTTTAGGATACTATTTCACTAATGACCCCTTTTGTGTTAAAAAATGATGAACAACTTATACCATTGTTATACATTGGTAGGTAATCGTTACGGAAGTCGTAGGTGGTGGTAAATTCTATGTCCAGACTGTTGGAGATCAAAAGATTGCATCCATTCAGCAACAGCTTTCTTCTTTGAACCTGAAGGATGCTCCGGTTGTTGGTGCTTTCAATCCTAAGAAGGGAGACATAGTCCTTTGTTATTTTCATGCTGACAAGTCATGGTATCGGGCAATGGTAAGTTCCAACATAAGATTTTTCCGCCTTCCCTATGTACTGATCTAGGCATTGCAATTCTATAGATGAAAAATGTGATCATTACATAGGGGCTGATGAAGAATGTATCACTTGATGATTGGGTCAAGGAGACATATTTCTTTATCATTGTTTTTCTTTTCTAAATCCTTGGCTGCTTCTCCCGCTCCTTTGTTATTGATTTGTTATCTAGGTTTCTTGATGAGTATTTAGGTTGATATTCCACCAATATTGTGCATTTTCATGTCTCTGTTTATGAATTCCTTTGCATATTTAAAGCAAGCTCCTAGAGTTTACATTGTTATACCAGATTAATGATCTATATATATTTTTTTCCTGTTAGAACATAATTTTGACCGATATTTCAATGTATATGACCAACACACCCCATGCACTTGTTCTTTTCGACCACTTTTTGCAATTTCCTGCAATTTTACAGTGTTGATGAGATGTTAATGGTCAGTGAAACACTTGATCACCATGTCTATTTCCACCTCAATTTCTCTTTCCCTTATGAAATGTTGTACCGAGTTACATTTTGTTGATTTTTTAATTCTGATTGCTCATAATTGTATCGTGTAGGTTGTCAATACACCTCGAGGACCAGTTGAATCCCCCAAGGACATGTTTGAAGTATTCTACATTGATTATGGAAATCAAGAAGAAGTACCCTACAGTCAGTTACGGCCTCTTGATCAATCTGTTTCTGCTGCACCTGGTCTTGCTCAATTGTGTAGCCTTGCATACATTAAGATTCCAAACTTAGAAGAGGATTTTGGCCAAGAAGCAGCTGAATATTTGAGTGAACTCACTTTAAACAGTGGAAAAGAGTTTAGGGCCAAAGTTGAGGAGCGAGATACTTCAGGAGGAAAAGTGAAAGGGCAGGGAACTGGGACCATTCTTGCTGTAACACTTGTTGCTGTGGATGCTGAGATCAGCGTTAATGCTGCCATGCTACAGGTTATATTACTGCTCACACTTGCTTCAAGCGCTTTCCAAATTTTATGTTTTGATTCTCTATGCACGTATAGTAATAAGAAGCCCATAAAACACCTCTCAGAATATAGGTTTCTTGTGGAATTTTCAGGAAGGGCTAGCAAGGACAGAAAAAAGAAATAGGTGGGACAGAAAAGAAAGACAGCTGGCTTTTGATAATTTGGAGATGTTCCAGGAAGAAGCACGGACCAGCAGGCGTGGAATGTGGCAGTATGGAGATATTCAGTCGGATGATGAGGACACTGCTCCTCCTCCTAGGAAGGCCACCACCGGTGGCCGTAGATAAGTATGATGCGAGGTAAGTTATATAATAGACATCTTGAGAGAAAATGATTGAAGTTATAGGCGTGAACATTTTTGAGTTAGAGAGAAAAAAGAAAATGCCGTGCGTAATCCTTTGTAAGTTTTGTTTTATTTTTCGTTTTAAATTTTGTCTTTAGGTTGATGGGACAATTGTTTTCTATAGCGTCGTAATAAGGTACATGCGGCAACGTTCTTTGTTACCATGAGGACAGCAGAGATGTTTTATCGTAGTTTAAAATTCTTGTTTGTTTGTCTTTTGGTCTTTTAAGAAATTGTCTTACCTTTCCCGCCCGTGGTTTGGTTTCGGTTTAAAGATATTTCTTCGTCGATGATTTTTATTGTATAGAAACTGGGCCCAATTACTTACTTCGATAACGCTACTTGCCCTCGTAATCATGTCGCCATTCATCTCCTCATTACCATAGTACGTTGAGAACAACTACAAAGAAGACCAAATCTCACTTTGGATTGATGCCCTTTTAAATGGATCATTTCTCATAGCTTGGTCACCTGCAATATCATTATTTTTTGCTCTAACTTTCTCGTTGCAGGTGGCCATCGTGCGGTGGTGGTTAACTGCAGCCGCAGACATCATGCTCTAACTTTCTAGCTTGTAGATCAGCCCCTGACATCATGCATGAGTAATTCCCGAATGCCAGCCGATGTGGTTTCCGAACCGGACACCACGTGCTTTCTACCCTATACATCATCAGCAGAAGTCAAGTCTTATTCATTCCACTGGGCCCCAAGTTTGGATGAACTTGTGCGTATATTATAAGAAAAAAAAAATGAAAACATAATAATTTGTTTTGAAGTTAATAATTATTCATCTTATGCGAAATAAATTTATAAAAAAATAGAAAATATAAGTTAATTTTAATTTATAGAATGAATTTGATTCATTTTATTATTTAATTTTTTACTTTTATAAGTATTTATTGAGAAATTAATTTAAATTGGACTCAGGTTGAGGTTGATTACATGGATACTTTAAAAGATACATTTATCTATGACAAAATGTTTCAATTTTGTAAAATGTTTTTGATAACTTTCAGAATTTTATTTTTGGAACACATCTAAATATTCTTTCAGAAATTTAATTTTTGGATTATTTATAAATCAATTTTGAAATTTTAATTTCAAAGCCATTTACGAACATTTCGAAAGTGAAATTTTGAAAGGAACAATACACTCATCTTATTTAAATGGGGGTAATTTAGGAATAATTTTTTTTTAAAGAAACACTGAAATTGTGTCGGTAAAATTTGATAAGGGCTAGGTTCATAGTGTCATGCCTCTTTGATATGATCAACTCCATTAAATGACGAGGTTAATAAGGCCAACTTTCTATTCAAAAGTAGTAAAGTGCGTCAGCTCCAGAGAAGCTAAATAATAATTAGCCTTAAAGAGAATACTTCCATATTAAAATTTCACATGATAAATTTTGTATTTATCTTTTCTGATAGACATCAACAATAGGATTTAATAAAATTGAGTAAATCCCCACTTTTGTACTTAAATAATAAGAGTATCGCAATTTAGTTTCTTAATTTATAAATTAAGAGGTTAATTTTTAAATTGGTAAAACATTCATCATTTTCACGCTTATTGTTCAGTGAAAGGAAGTAATAGATTGCTGATGTGTTATGTTTTAAACAATAACTTGGATTTTACATAAACTTAAAAATAATATTTTATTTAGTATATTTCTTCATTTATTTTGATTTCTTAAATTTTTAAAACTTTTTATTTACTCATTCTTCTTTTTCTTTATTCTTTTTTAACATTTCTATCATTCCTCCTTCTAAAATTCTCAGCAATATGAATTATAGACACATCACCCATCAATTAATTTATCTTGGTTGTGTCTCTATCGTCACAATTTCAAATTAACCAAGTCGCATTTCACTAGAACCTTATCCTACTATTGTGCACTCAATTACACCTTTCTAGACTTACCGTGATCGTCGCCCCTTTTGCCACCTAAATCATTGTGCATCATCCCGAGTCTTTCTCAAACCACTATAGCTTGGCAATTTCTTCACCAATCGTCACTACCAGTTATAAACTTTATCGCTCCACTGCCAATTTGATTTTGATGGTTGTAATTTCAGTAATTTGAGTTTCTTTTGCATTGTGTGTTGGGTGTGCATATAAAATTACTCATATGTTATAACTCGTTAATTTGGAGGGCATGAATTTATTTTTTCATTTTTTATTTTAAACTTGAACATTACTCATCACTAATGACAGATCCCCTCCTATTTGCTTGTGTGTGAATGCTAAGTAAATCTTGTTTGAAGAGAAGAGAAAGGAAAAGAAAAGGAATAATGATGCAATTCTGTTTTTCACTGGGAGATAGTCAAAGATAGGGCTGATAGTCGGATGGATAGGGTCGAATTCAGGGTAAATTTGTTGAAACTGATGTTAACCGTTGAGTGAATATATTAAACCAACTTCGTCCATAAAGCTTATCGGTTTTGAGTAGATTTCGGCTAAATAAATTAATTTTTAAATTGATAGTTTTTATCGGTTTAACTTAAGTTGAAACTCCTTTGTTTCATTAATTTACAAATTTTAAAGATTTTTTATTACATATACTTCAACAAATTTTTTAAGGTATTTCATATGATTTTTTTTTAAAATCAGAGATGATGATTACAAAAAAAGAATATGCTATAGAAATAGGAAAAAGCAATAGCAGTTGAACTTAATCTAGACACATAATTAAGAAAGAGATGAAAAAAAGAGTAACTTACTACTTAGTATGATTTGAAGGATATGATGACATTAATTGCAATTTGTAAAAACTAAAGATAAAAGCAAGAGTTAAGTTTTTGGAGAAGAGAAAATGAGGCAATGAATATTAAGCAACTAGATGGATCTAGATTCTTTTTATTTGTGGCGAGAATTGGATATCTAATTTCATTTTTGCTTAAGCAAAAATATAAAAAAAGATAATTTTTTATGTAAAATTGGCTTAAGAGAATTCTTTTAGCTTAATCGAATATTGCAGATTCACTTAAGCTAATTTTTTTTGCTTAAGCAAATTTTGCGTCTTTTCTCTTAATATGCTCTTCTTCTTCTTTTTATGTCTAATATTCTCTTCTCAACTTCTATATTTAATCTTCTTTTAACCTCTATATTTAACTTTTTTTCTTTTTCTTCTCACTCTCATCCTACCCTATACCAATCTCTCCCTTTTTCCTCTATACCCAACTCTCCATTCTCTTCTCCCTCCACCATTATTCCTATATCACTTGCCCTCTTTATCTCTATCCATCTTAAGTCCTCTTTTCTCCTCATATCTAGCCTTCATCTCCTCAAATGCACAAAATTCACAATACAAAATAATTCGCTCAAGCAAATCTATAAAAATTCGTATAAACTAATTTTGCATAAATATATTTTTGTTATTTTTTGTATTTTTGTTTAAGCAAAAACAAAAATAGAGTTAGATGTCCAGTTTCCACCACTAAAGGGAATCCAGATCCGCAACTAGATAGTACTGTGGTAGATAGAAATATGATGTTATATGACATGATAATGGAGTAGGTACACTTCCAGGCTTTTGAGCCCGTCAATGAAAAGGTGATGTGAAATAAAACTTTGAGGCTTTGAGCCACTAAAAAAAAGTAACAAAATAAAATTGAGCCCTTAACTTTGGAAGTCAAAAGTTTATTATATAAGCAAACAAGTCCATATAAATATCAAATTTCGACAAAATTAAAAGTTTAGATCTGTTTTGGTTTATTTTTAATTATTTCAAATTTTAAATTAACTTTTTAGGCCAACTCATATTTAATCAATCTGCTCAATTATAACAATTATGCATAAGTATTATCAAGTATCAGACAAAAATAATTTTTTCAGCATCTTAGTCAAAGATGTTGTAGAGGAAAAAGGACAAATTGTGGTAATAATGGATGATTGGATTAAATGGAACAACCCTTACAATCTTGAGGACCAAAGTGAAACTTTACTCTTATAAAAATAAATGAGATAGAGATACATGTGTAGGGTGCATATGATTTGCATATAATTAAAGTCGTTTGTAGATTCTCATCATGCATTTTACTTTATTCTATCTTTGGTTTAAGTTGTTTGGCCAAGATATAGCTGTAGGTGTTATTTTGTAGGAAAAATAGTTTGAGTTGAGAAAAAGGCTTGAAAAGAAGGATATTTTAGCATCCAATAAGCACTATGATTTTCCTATGGTAGCCACCAAACCAGTGGTGGCTGTTGCCAGTTATTTTGAAAAATCGAAGTGCCACACTCTACCAGTGGTGGCCACTACAGTGGTGGTTCATGGATAATAACACGACAATAAAGCTATAATTTTACTTATATTGCGAGGTGAATAAGGAGGATTTTGTAAAACCTTATATATAAAGAGGAAAAGAGAACTCAAGGGAGCCATCATCTAAGAAAGAAAAGAATGAATAAAAGATAAAGACATGGGGCAAGGGAAAAACTACACATTTAGGATCAAGACATTAAGTTTGAAAAGTGAATATTAGAGTTTTCTTCTTCGTTGTTCTTTACATTTTTGTTGTCTTGTTGATGTATTTAAATTTTATATGTTTTCATCACGTTATGACTGAGTAGTTTTTTGTTTTTTCTATTCCTACGAATTAAGAGAAATTCAATTGATGATTTTAGGGCAATGCTTTAATTTTTAACTCTCTTTTCTATATTTGATTATCTTAATTCAATTTTGTATGTTTTTATTTGTGATTGTGTTGGACGTTTTTCACTTGTTCTTGGGTTTTATTTGATGAACCTTATGGAGAACTCTATTTTATTTTTTTTAGAGAATTCTATTTTCAAAAATACTAAAACTGGGCATGAATTCCTTTGTCATGAAAGTAGGCATTGGGTTTATGGAGTTTTTTAAAAATTGCCAAAGATCTTAATGGATTTAATTTGAATTCAATAAAAATAAAATAAAATTTGATTCTATTCAACACATTATTATATCTTCAAAAAGAAATAATAATATTTTAGTGCAATTAAATTTTAAGAATAATTCAAGTATTTTAAAAAAATATCTTATTAGCCTTAAAATCTGAAATTAAATGAAACTAATTCTTGGAAATGCTTTAAAAAATCTCATTAGCCTCATTATCCATTGCCTTTAGATTATTTTATTTATTTTGTTTTGTTTTATCTTTATAAACACCAAACTAGAGACTCCGATTATGTCTAGATAGGATACAATATTTTTATTACGTGATTTAACTGTTACTTTCAATTTTTTAGATAGATATACAACTTACACATAGTCAATTATGTTACTGACATTCAATATTAATTAATTTTTTTACAATAAAGTAATATAATTAAATTTTTATACATTGTTAACATAAATATTTTTATACTAGTAACTAATTAGAAATTATCATTTACATAACCTTTGATGTAATCATTACAAAAGTCAATGATATTTAATTGTATGGCTATTTATAATTAGATGATGGTATAAAAAAATTTACACTGTTAGTGTGTTTTAATTAAATTCAAATAATATTCTTAGATTGGGATCAAGTTACATTATTTAATAATTTTTTAGTAAATGTTGAACTTTATCGGTCTAACTATTGAATTAAAAATTCTTTTTTAAATATATTAAGTTTACAAAAAATTATATAAATAAAAAATAATTGACAATTCATTTAACAATTTTACTTTAACATTTAATATACTTTTCTCATATCAATTGTTTATGTTGCAACCTCACTTTATCCGCCATGAAAATTTTACCAAACGGGAATACTTCTGTTGAAAGCAATTATTTTTACCGTTAGAAAACGTGTTTTCCTGGCAAAGCAAACATGCTAGCTAATGATAGAATTGGCTTTACAACGAGATATGTTAAATGCAAACGAAAATTTCAAGTATTCATAATATTAAATAAATACACATTAAACTACTTTTTGAAATATCATCCCTAAATATAAATGGATTCTTTTAAAATCAACTTTTAAAATTAAACCGTTTTAACATAAATTCTTTGAAAGTTATTTTAACAGACATTTAAAATGATATACTTTTTTTTTAAATTTTAGGGAGGATTATAATTAAGTTCTGCTACTGTAAAGTCCATAAAGGACACGAGAGAATTAAGTCTTCATTCCATTTTAAGTTCTTCGGTAAAGAGGGTGATCCAAATACAAAGTTGGACAAGGTGGACACGGAGGTCTAACACCAAGAATCGTAGGCCCTGCTTGATTCTGTAGTGCAAGTAAGTGGTCCCTCAGTAAATGCACGAAACTAATCTCAGTAAGTGGCCAATAACAGATTGATAGTCTTATTATTGCAACTGTTCATAATCCCCTAACCATTTGACAACAATTTATTTGATCTTAATCTTATATGTGCGAAATTTTTACTGTTAATGCATTTTATGAAATTAATAGGTAGTAATAAGTAAAATAATAGTTACCGTTATGTAAAAACGCAGTTAACAAAAACGATGCAAAGTTATCATCCTCCTGTTTCATTATATTGAGCCAGGATTATCATTTAATTATGGGAACGTAGCTAGGTATGTTAAAAACAGAATCCATTACTAGAAAAAATAAAGACAAAGTAATTGTACAGCTTCAATTACCTAAAACACTCAAATCTCCAAAAAGGAGATCTACGCTCATTAAGCATATAATCGTTCTGAAAAAAAGAGAAGAATGAAAACAAAGTGCACCTAAAATGAAGCTAACCCCAAAATTTATCTGTGGTGATGATACTAAAGAGGCCGTCCTATTTAAAGATTCAATCAATTTAATTGTCTCGCCTGGTCCTCCGACGCGGAGCATTAGATGTTTCCTCCTCCTCTTTATTTTCATCGTTCTCTCCACCAGCTTGGTCTTTGGAAGTCTCTGTGCGTTCTGTACTTTTCTTCTCCACCTTTGCCTGCACAAGAGACCCGATTATGAGATTAAAACAAAAACTCCCTAGAAAGTAATATGAAAGAGCGTGTGCAAGAGCTTTCACTACTCACAGTTACAGGTTTTTTGCCACCAAATATGATCCTGAAGAAAATTGTCAGGAAGATAACCACAACGGCTACAATAATTCCAATGGTGAGATTTGGTTGCTTCTCGGCTTTTTCAATGATATCCTGCAGAGTAGTAACAGGTATAGGTTACACTTGGCGCAACATAATGGGTACCAAAAGGGATGGAAGATATCAGTTTGATTATTTGATCATTTTGATGATACTTGGGTACTTACATATATCTTGAGTTTGTGATCCCTCAGGAAGGGAAGGTCTGCAATCTTGTATAAGAGGTCAAATACCTTCTTCTGCAAGATTAAAAATTAACATCATGCATTACAAAGAAGAACGAGGTTGGATGCAATTAACAATGTATTAAGGTGAGGTATAAGAGAGAAAGTCAGCTATATTCTTTTATACCTGGAAGCCTGCAATACCATCTGAACCGGCTGCTGCCTCTTCAGCCTTTTGTTTTTCTTTCTCGATAGTAAACTTGGGCTTCCATGTAGTCTCCCGATAGGACTCTGCAATTCTATCATCTTTGGCTATCAAAATATTGTCAAATAGTATGCCATCTTGCATTGTCCAGATCTCAATGCCAATAGCAGCAATAGGCTCAAAATCAGGTTTCTTAAGTTCAAAGTAGTCAGGGTTTGGAATCTCCTGAGGCTTCCATATGCCCTTATAATCAGGGTTATCAATGTAGGGGGCACTCCATTTTCCCTTATAGGCTGGATTCCTCTTCATTGGCCTCTTCCATTCACCGCAACCAGGGGCTGCCTCACACTTTGGGTTATCAATCTTTGGGGCTTCCCATTCACCATCCTCCTCATCGTCCCAATCTTCAGGTTTAATAGCCTCTGGATCATCTATTTCCTCTGGCTCATCATCTAACCATCCTTCAGGTTTCTCTGCCTCTGCATCTTCAATTTCCATGGGTGCATCCTCATCCCAGTCATCTGGCTTCACAGCACTTGGGTCTGGAATTTTGGCTCTCTCATCCCAGTCCTCAGGTTTCTTATCTTCAGGATCTGGAATTGTCTTGGGTGGGATTAGAGGAGGCTCAAAATCCTCAGAAGACAAGAAATTTGCCTTCTTCTTCTCCTCACCATCAATCAAAATTTCGAGTTCATTATCAGGCTTCAAAATTGCAGTGTACACGTGAGATAGTTTGTCAGATGGGACAGAAGGGGGATACTTGAGATGGTGTTCAACATACTCCCCATTCTTAGGATTCTTATGCTTGAAAATGAAGTGCACCTTGTTTGTGGCCCCACACTTATCAGGACCAAACATGATAGAATATGGAGATTCATTGTCAAATTCCTTTGCTTTCCATCCACTTTCTTGTGGTCGAAGATATTTAAGATATGCACCACCACATTCTAGGCCATTTTGAAGACGGGTCTCAAACTGAAGAACAACTGAACCATCCTTAAAATTGACAGGTTCATCAAGTTCTTTAACTATAGCATATTTTCTTGCTTGTTCACTAACAAGAAGACCATAATCATCATGCCCATCACTCTTGGTGTGCTTCCAAATACCTAAAACCAAATTGCAAATCAAAGAATAATCAACATTTGGTAGATCATAAGATCTATTGAACCTGTTAGGTTGAAAACTCTTAAGCTTTAACTGTACAGGCAAAAAGAAATCAACAAAGATCTACTTCATTGCTTCCAATATGCACCTAAAATGAAATGAAGTACGAATGGAAAAAAAAAATAAAAAAAAATCTATGAACAAAGTACTAGCAACTGGGAAATATATGGAGTGTGATCAGACACTCAAAAATATCATGGTACTAGCAACTGGGAAAATTATGAGAATTATCCATTCCTCTTCATAAAGGTGGCACCAATATAATAGGCTTTATGGAATTAACTCTCAATCATTGTAAACTAAATCCTAGTCAATGACTTTTGAAACATAGCTGGGTTGAGAAGGGTATACAACTCTTTTGCAAAAAGCACCCTTGCTGCTGGAACACACGAGTCAAACATTTAACCTAATAAAAAAACGTTTAATTTTGAGTTTGGTGCATAATAATCTAAGTATCCGTCATTCATTATTATGCAATACATTGTCACCAAATCCTCAACTTAACTATCGTCTTTCTTATACATTTTAGAGAATTTTCAAAAAGATTGCTACAGTTCAAAAATTTGTAAACGGGGCCCACATAATTTTCAAAAATTAATTCCATAGGGTCCCCAAATATAGCCTGCTATTATTTATTTATACATGTAACGACAGAGGATGCAGGTCAAGTGAAAGCATCACAAAACTTTATCTCATTCATACATCCATAGATACATTGATGATCAAAAATAATTTTAGTCAGATTAGATCTTGACCATTCATATAAAATCGAATGGTGAGGGTTAATTCCTCTCACCTCATAGCCCATAGACCGCGGTGACTCGTTCATAAATGAATTACAAGGAATCAAATTAAATATTCCCAAGAAAACAAATGTAGACCTACATACAAATATTAATTTAACCCAATTTTAGATTCTGCAAAGAAACTTCAAAACACATAGCCTCAGAAACCGATTTGAACGAAGCATACGCATTTAACTCGTTTCAAACTCTAACTTGGATACATAAGTAAGCAATATCAAGGTTAAAAAAGTAACCGAATACACAGCAAGGGAAACAAGACCAAACAACCTCAAACACAAAACACACCACTGATTTGCACAGAGAATCTATTTACCTTTGTAATCCTCCTTGTCTGATACAATCCACCGACCGTCAAAATCCTCATCGAACAACTCGTAGAAGATCTAAATGACACAAATATTATCGAATCAGAGATCCAACAAATAATAATAATAATAATAATGGCGAAGGTTTCGGCAAATTACGGCGTCATCGGCAAAATCGGAAGCGCGAACCAGCTGAAAGGAAGAGGAAGCAATGAAGAAGAGGAGCAACGCCAAAAGCCCCATAGACACAGGGATTTCTCTTAGTTCTCCCATTGGTCTCTGTATCTCTCTCTCTCTCACAATCGCCAAATCCTAACCCTGAATTCAAATGAACTCTGTTCTGAGATCTAAATAGACATCTGCTCTTCCGAGAAGAGAGTGAGAATGTGATACACCACCGAGGCTTTGTTATTTTTGTCCTTGCAGATCTCCTCCTTCTACCTGTTCCAGCCAATCATATTACATGCCACGTGACACCACCCAATAATTTATCGCCACGTAGCAGTCTCGCGTCACTTCACTCTCCTCCAGCGTATCATATCCAATAAAATTCCCTTCTCCTTCGATTTTTCCAATAAAATTCTTCCTCACTTTTTCTTTGGTCGCGCATCTACATTTTTTACCAAATGTAAAACTTTGACTGGGCTTTGCTTCTGGTCCATGGGCCATGGGCGTGTTAATGTATAACTATTAACTCAAAAGTCAAAGTAAAAGTACCCAATACCCCAATTGATCAAAAAAAAAAAAAAAACTACTTATACAACAACCATCCACAAAAATTATCTTGCAAATTAGCACAGTGTATAAAGAAAAAAAATTAAACAAAAAATGAATAAAAATCTTGTTGAGCAATTCACATGAGATCATAAATTTAAAAAGTGCATCTACTCTTCAATTCTTGTGCAATGCAGTGTGAGAGTAGTGTTATATATATATATATACACCAGTGTAGATCTTGTGCAATGTATGAAATAATTTACATTACTAAATTTTAAAACTTTTATTATTAAAAATTATAAAATAAATTTAAATTATTTAATAATTTAATTTGTATATATTTATCATATAAACATATAACAAATCAAAAATATATTGGTGTTAGTTATTATTATTAATATAAATATAATTATTTTTTCATTCTTTGTTAAAGAAATTAATTTAATAATATAAATATATTAATTATTTTTTACTATTTAAATAAAATACATTTTAATCATATTATTTTAGAATAATATAAATAAACTAAGATTATTATGATTATTAAAGTAATCATTTCTTTTAAAAAGAAGGAGATATACTATGAATATATTTATATTATAATTCTTTTAAAATTTTATATATAAAAATTTTAATGATATCCCATTAAAAGTTTTTAATAAGGAATTCTAATAAAATACCAAAGATAAAATTAAAAAAAAAGTTTATAAATTTAAATGTTATATAAATAATATGTAAAAAAACATTGCAAATTAATAAAAATATATATTTATTAAACACATATGTAGTGAGTGAATTCTCGTTAACTTTTATTTTTACAATTAGCAACTAGTCAGTATAAAAATTATTTTAATTATTAAGATAAAATTTGTTATTTTTTTATTTTTTATGTGAAAAATAATTAAATAAAATAAATATATTCACTATTTTTAAATATTTCAATAAATATAAATTAGATAACACATATATAACTTTAATATATGATTGCTTAATGAATATATTTCTGTTTAACGGACCCCGTGCAATGTACGAAATAATTTATAATGTTAAATTTTAAATATTAAAAATTATAAAATAAATTTAGATAAAATTAATAATTTAATTTACATATATTTATTATATAAAAATATAATAGATTAAATATACATTAGTGATTATCTGTTATTTATCATTATTAATATAAATATAATTATTTTCTAACTCTTTGTTAAATAAATTAATTTAATATTATAAATATATTAATTATTTTTTACTATTCAAATAAAATACATTTTGATCATATTATTTTAGAATAATATAAATAAACTAAGATTATTATAATTATTAAAGTAAGCGTTATTATTTTGTCATAAAGATTAAGTAAAAAAATATATTCCGTCAAGTAATTATTTACATAATATAACAACAAAATATATAAAAAAATATAGTAAACAAAATCTAAAAAACATTAAGTAATATTTAAATATTTTCTTATATCTTGTCAAAAACTTTTTTGAATACTATATTTGATGTAAATCGGGTTGGCTTCTTATCTTCATCTAAAATCAATATTTTCATTACATCTTTCTTTCTCACTCTTGAGATAGCAACATATAATTGACCATGGGAGAGTACTGGCCTTGGTAAGTAAAGACCGACATTAGAAAGTATTTGTCCTTGACTTTTATTAATGTCATTGCAAAACAAAGAGCTAATGAAAATTGTCTTCTTTGAAACTTAAAAGGTAATCGGGAATCTGAAAGAACTAAATTCATTCTTGGGATGAATACTTTATCACCAATATTTCTTCCTGTAACAACAGTGGCTTCAATTATGTTTCTTCCCAATTGATTAACAATCAGTCTAGTTCTATTGCATAATCCATTTGCTTGATCTATATTCCTCGAAAGCATAACTGGAACACCTATCTTCAAAATTAATCTGTGGTTTAGAATTCCTGAACACTTAACTTCATTCAAAAATTCAGTAGTAAACTACTCACCTTCTGTTTTAGAATTTTCATCATATGAGCAAGTTGAATCAGAACTTAAATATTCTCTTTCTTTTCTGGGTATCAAAGAGATAATTAATTCATTTACTTTCTTAACACTTTCTAAAGTAGGTGCTAATATTGCTTTCTGTTCAAAGAATTTAAAATCAGCACAATTATGGACTAAACTTGGATATGCAAATTCTACTAAATGCATAAGACTATTATCCTTTTCAAGAATGAGAAGCTCTTATCGTTAACTCCGATTTGTTCATCGCTTATTTGAAGAATCCAATCTACAAAAAACTTAGTTTCATTTATAGCAGAAGTGTTTTTTACTGATGCTGATAATCTCATATTTTTTGTCAACTTGAGCACTTTGCAATGAGGCCATAGATAAGAAGAGTTCATAGTTGCAGAAAGAACATCTTCACGATTACCTTTTGGAATAACTAGAAGTATTTGTCTGAAATCTCCTCCCAATACAACAACTTTTTCACTGAAAGGTTCATTCATACTATTTGAATTTTTCACTCTCATTAATCTCTTAATGTACGATTTAGAGCTTCAAAACAAAATTTATTAAGCATAGGGGCTTCATCCCATACGATAAGACTTGTGTTGATTAATAAATCAGCTTTCAAACTTCCTTGCTTAATGTTACATGTGGATGTATTATCAGTCATTAATGGAATTGAAAATCTGGAATGAGCTGTCCTTCTTCCAGAAAGAAGTAAAGAAGCAATACCACTTGAAGTCACATTGAGAACAATCAGTTGTTTAGATCAAAGAGCTGCTGATAGAGTATTTCAAATGTATGTTTTTCCTGTTCCTCCATATCCATATAAGAAGAAAAAATCATCAGATTTATTTAAGACTGAGCTTATGATTTCATGTAAACAACTTTTTGCTCCATTGTTAAAGAATCTAGAAGTCTGTGGTGTTGTTCAGCCAGTTCAGTTGTGTTGTAATTGAGCTCATCTGCTATGAACTTATTTTCAACCAAACTAAAAATTGAATCTTCTACAATTGGCATACAGGTGTAGTCTCTTAATGATCTTCCATTGCTTTGAAGAAGTTTTTCAACCTCGACCAAACAAAGATTTTTCAAGTCTCGGTCATTTAAATTAAAATCTATAAAAATATGATAAATTCACTCATTACACAAATATTTAACTTTTAAAAATATTTTTAGTCCTTATATACAAAGAATTTTAGCAAAAATTTGTATACAAACAATGGCGATGTACTCTTAAATCAAACAAAGCTAATACCTGGATTCCTATTTTTCTTCCTCTGCTGATAAAGAATGTCATCAGATAACATTATCCATGTTTTCTCCCACACGTAATCTGGTTTGGCCATTGTATTGCACGTCAATAACGTCACAAATAGTTTTCGTAGCTCATGTCCTGAACAAAACTCATTTGCTTCCTTTGTTCCATCAACAAATTCTTTGTCATCACATAGAAGTTCTAATGAGTAGCATGCTTCTTGAAAATTGTCCAATATAACTCCATTAACCATTCTTATGCTCTCATAATCACAACAACCACGCTGCATTGTTAACAACAAACGCATATAGTAAAGCTTGCCTGTCCCTGGAGGGATATAATGAAGCCTGCCAATTGAGAAACCTTTCTTTCTTGGTTGCCATTTACAATTCTCCCTATCAAAAACAAACTTATTAGGAAACTCTGCATAAGTCAGCTCTTTAGCATCGCGTACACCTTATTTGCTTCCATTCAAGCTATGAACATGGTGTCTTTGTCTTTACTTTTGTTAAGAACATCATTTATTCTTTCATCATCTCTAAAAAAATAACTTGATGATTTGGTAAATGAAAATTTAAACTCTGCAGGCCATTTTTCATGAATATCAAATGACAATATTCTCCACACAGCTTTATATGAAGAAAGATATCTGCAATAGTAAAATTGTTTGATTTCATCAACAAAACAGGAATTTCCATCCTTCTCAGATTTTTTGGATATTTTCAGGGTAGCTCTATCTGGACCTTTGTTCACATATTTGAATAAATACTTAATAGCATTTGACTTGTTACAATACTCTATGTTAATATGGGCTTGGTACTTCATCAAAAGAATTGGATTGTAAGGAACAATATTTCTATTATCTATCTCAACTCCCTTTTTTTGTTGTTGTAATTTCAGAATTTCTCCTTATGTAAGAAGGATAACCATCTTCATTAATGTAAGTAGTATTCTGAAATTTTTTTGGGAAATATTTTGTGCAATATCCTTCTTTCATGCATGGACTATTACGGTTACCAGTTTCACATGGACCATGAACCATAAACTTTGTAATTACCTTGTATAATCTTGGGCAAGAACTCGGGTTAGGCAATTCAGTAGATATAAGTTTATCAATTTGATTTGGTGTATTTAACTTATTCTCTCCATTTAACCACAACAAAATATGAACATGTGGAAGTCCCCTTTTTTGAAATTCTACCGTATACATAGCTATGAAAACATTATATTTAAGTTTTGTCAGAAATCATAATAACTGAATTTTATATTAATTCCAATAACATAAAAATATAAAATAAGGAAAGTGGTAAATTACCTGCATCAATTTTTCCAAACTCTTTTCCCTTCTTAAAATCTGAGATCATTGTATCTAACTTCATTTTAAACAATCTACATGAAATATCTAGTCTGTCTTCAGCTTTTAATCCTTTTGCAGCAAGGAATCTTATTATCTCTGCCCAACTTGAGTTGCAAGTGAATGTAATGAAAAGATTAGGGTATCCAAATCATTTACAGATAGCCATTGCATCTTGGCTGTTATTAAATAGATATCTCATACTTACAGTGAAAAAAGCAGGTAATATAACACGTTTTCCAGCAGATGATGATGGATCTGTTTCATCTCTACTTACAGCCTCTTC